CCCCACCCCCGCTTTTTTTATCCCGAATTTCTCGGCAACCTTGCTACATAAATACACGGATTTCTTTGCCGGCCGTTCTCCCAAGGTGATTTTTGTGTGTGTTTGTGTGTTTCGTTTTGCGTTTTTCCCGGGATTAGGTGTCGGAAGCGGCGGCCACGGCTTTGGGGAGGTGCCAGATCCCGTTTTGCCGGGAATCCTCGGGAATTTCCTGCCGGGAATCTCCGTTCCAGCGGCGTTTCAGCCTCAGCTTGGGCGGCATCAGGGCGTCCTCCCTCCTCTCCGGATTGCCGGCGTCGCCCGAGGAATCCCGGGATGTTTTCTCGGCGCCGTCGTCTCCGGAAAAACCGGGATGCGCCGGGATCCACGCCGGAGCCGCCGGCCGGGCGAAAACCGTTTTCCCTTCTTCCTCCTCCTCCTCCTCCTCCTCCTCCTCCTCCCGTTTTTCCCCTTTTTCCTCTTTCTCCTCCAGCTCCACCTTCACCCTGGGATTCACCGGAGCCGCCTCGGGGCTTTCCAGCCTTTCCCGGTTTTTCCGGCCGGCGGGAGGAGGTTGGAGCTTGATGGGGAATTGCGGCTGCTCCTCCAGCGGCACCGGGCACTGCAAGGGCGGCACCACCAAGGGATAACGCGGAAAAGTCCGAGGGCTCAGGTGATAATTGAACACGGAGCAGGCTTGGGAATGCAGGTAGTGCTTCATTTCCTCGGGGTTGAAGGAGAAGCAGCTGCTCCCGGCGGCGAACGGGCTCAGCCCCGGCGAGGGGCTGTAGGAAAAGAGCGTCGGAGTCAGGGATAAGGCCGGGGAAATGGGAACGTTGAGCACGCCGGGACGCCCCGCCAACGGCGAGACGGCGAAAGGGCTGTGAGGGTGATCCGGGAAAATTCCCGGTCTGGAAAACAGCGGGAGAACCACGTCGGGCTTGCGTTTGGGAGCGGCGGCGGCGGCGGCGGCGGCGCCGGCGGCGGATGAATGAGACGGAGCCAGCAGATCCCGGCGCCAATCCGAAGGGTTTTCCTCCAATTCCGAGGATTCCGGCTTCCTGTCGGCGTCTCCCAAGGATTCGGGGTGAGGCTGGAGCAGGGATCCCGGCGGGAAGCGGGATTGGGAATCGTCGGTGGGGGAGTGAGGGTCCAGAGGGGGGAAGTGGAAGCGGGAAGAGGCGGTGGGGACGGGCGGAGCGCTCTGAGGGACGACGCCTGCGGGGGGGGGAAAAAACGGCGGAAAAACGGGATAAGAGTCAGAACGGGACGGGGGTGGAGCGGGAAAAATGGGATTTTTTTTTTTTTTTAAGGGGTTTGGGTCTGTGGGGGTGGGTTGGGATGGAGAGGGGTTGGTGGGAATGTTGGTGGGAATGGCTGGAATGAGGGGGGATTTCATGGATTCATGGGAAAGTCGCGAAAATCCATGGAAAAGTCTCGAAAATCCATGGAAATACCTCAAAAATCAATGGAAAGGTCTAAAATATCCATGGAAAAGTCTAAAATATCCATGGAAAAGTCTCAAATATCCATGGAAATACCTCAAATGTTCATGGAAATACCTCAAATATCCATGGAAAAGTCTAAAATATCCATGGAAAAGTCTCAAATATCCATGGAAATACCTCAAAAATCAATGGAAAAGTCTAAAATATCCATGGAAAAGTCTCAAAAATCCATGGAAAAGTCTCAAATATCCATGGAAATACCTCAAAAATCAATGGAAAAGTCTCAAAAATCCATGGAAGTCTTGAAAATCCATGGAAATGTCTAAAATATCCATGGAAAAGTCTCAAAAATCCATGGAAAAGTCTCAAATATCCATGGAAATACCTCAAAAATCAATGGAAAAGTCTCAAAAATCCATGGAAGTCTTGAAAATCCATGGAAATGTCTAAAATATCCATGGAAAAGTCTCGAAAATCCATGGAAAAGTCTCAAATATCCATGGAAATACCTCAAATATCCATGGGAAAACCTCTAATATCCATGGAAATACCTCAAATATCCATGGAAATACCTCAAATATCCATGGAAATCTCTCCTCTGAGGGGGGATTTAATGAATTCATGGAAATGTCTCAAAAATCCATGGAAAAGTCTAAAATATCCATGGAAATACCTCAAATATCCATGGAAATCTGTCAAATGTTCATGGAAAGGTCGAAAATATCCTTGGAAATGTCTCAAATATCCATGGAAATCTCTCCTCTGAGGGGGGGATTTAATGCATTCATGGTAATACCTCAAATATCCATGGAAAAGTCTAAAATATCCATGAAAATGTGTCAAATATTCATGGAAAAGTCTAAAATATCCATGGAAATATCTCAAATATCCATGGAAATATCTCCTCTGAGGGCGGGTTTCATGAATTCATGGAAATGTCTCAAATATCCATGGAAAAGTCTGAAATATCCATGGAATTATAATAAATATCCCCATAAATGTCTCATCTGAGGGGGAGGGAGTTTCATTAATCCATGGAAATGTAACAAATATCCATGGAAATATCTTGGATAGCCACCAAAAATCCCTCAAATTCCCACCCAAATCCCTCCCCACCCACAATCCCGGGATTCTGGGGCGCTGACTCCAGGATAAACCTGGAAAAAGCCTTTTAGGGAAGAAAAAGGGATATTTATGCCTCATTCCCAAACTTTTCCTCGTTATCCTGATTGCATTCTCCAAGGAAAAATGTGGGATTTTTAGCCAAAATCCAAGGAATTCCTATTTTCAACTGGGAATCCCTCACAAAACCGGGATGAAATGGGTTAAAAAACCCATCTAGAAGTCGATATTCCCAAAAATTCCCAACTTTTCTCCACAGAAAAATCTCAATTTTGAGGAGCCGGGCCTGGCCCGAGCTGCTCCAAGGGAAAGCCTGGAATATGAATCCAGCAGGGAAAAAATATGGAAAAAAGACTGAAAAAGTGGGAAAATTGGTGATTATTGAATCCATAAAGATAAAAAAATTGCTCTGGAAGTCGTTATTCCCAAAAATTCCCAACTTTTCCCCACATAAAAATCTCAATTTAGAGGAGCCGGGCCTGGCCCGAGCTGCTCCAGGGGAAAGCCTGGAAAATGAATCCAGAAGGAAAAAAAAATGGAAAAAAACCAGGAAAATTGGGAAAATCGGTCATTGTTTAATCCATAAAAACAAAAAATCCCTCTGGAAGTCGATATTCCCAAAAATTCCCAACTTTTCTCCACAGAAAAATCTCAATTTTGAGGAGCTGGGCCTGGGCCCGAGCTGCTCCAGACAAAAGCCTGGAAAATGAATCCAGCAGGGGAAAAACACGGAAAAAAGACTGAAAAATTGGGAAAACTGGTGATTATTGAATCCATAAAGATAAAAGTTCCCTCTGGAAGTCGATATTCCCAAAAAATTCCCAACTTTTCCCCACATAAAAATCTCAATTTTGAGGAGCCAGGCCTGGTCTGAGCTGCTCCAGACAAAAGCCTGGAAAATGAATCCAGCAGGGAAAAAACGCAGGAAAAGTGGGAAAATTGGTGATTATTGACTCCATAAAGATAAAAAATCCCTCTGGAAGTTGTTATTCCCAAAAATTCCCACCTTTTCCCCACAGAAAAAAAATCCCGATTTGGAGGATCCCAATCCAGCTTCCAGGGGGAAAAGCCTGGAAAACGAATCCAGCAAGGAAAAAAAACCAGGAAAAATCTGGATGGGAAGCAGCAAAACCAGGTTCTGTGTGGGAAAAAAATGGGATTTTTCCAGGCTGGAGTCTCCATCCGGAGCCTCCTCCCCTCCCTGAGGGAATCCCAGCTTGGATTTGTTTTTTTTTTCCCCCAAGGTTTTGTTTTTCCAAGGCTCCGGGAAAAGCCAAAAAAACGATGGAAAAATTCCTCAAGGTGTCTCCTGTGTGGGCCCTGCCGGGGTTTTTGGGGTTTGTTGTTTTTTTGGGAGAAGGGAATTTCTTTTCCAAGCCAAGGAACGGGGGTGGGAATGTCTGGAGCTGTAATTCCGTAATTAAGTCGGAGCGAAAACGAGTCCGGGCGGTTCCCGGCTCCCTTTCCCTGGGGCACTTGGATAAAAAATAAATCCAAAAAAAAAAAATAAAAATAAAAATAAAATATTTGGGAGAATTCGCAATGTTCTCGGTTAATCCCAACCTTTTTCATTCCCGCTGGGGTGGGGTTGGGATATAAAACCTGGAATTAGGGGGTTTTTCTCCAGGATTTTCCACCCCCTTCCCGAATTTTTTGGGTGAGAAAAGGAGAATATTCCTCAAAATGGCACCGGAAAAGGAGCTGGGGAGAGCTGGAAGTTACAGGAAAGGATTTTTTTTCCTAAAAAAAAAGCTCAAATTTGGGATTTTCAGCCAGTCAGGAGAGCTTGGGGATTCCCAGGATTTTGCTGGAATTTCTGGGATGTTCTGAGCAGGGCCTGGAGTCGGAATTCCCTTTTCCAGCTCAGGATATTCCATAATTTCTGCTTTAAACGCGAGGAAACCTCGGCAGATCGGGAAGTTTCACGTTCTTATCCCTGAAAACAGGTGGGAAAAGGCGGAATTCCAAAGGGAAAAGGCAAAATTCCAAAGGGAATTCCCCTGGAGCCAGGCCCGGCTCCTCTAAATTGAGATTTCTGTGGAGAAAAGTTGGGAATTTTTGGGACTAACAACTTCCAAAGGGGTTTTCTATGTTTACAGATCCATTAATCACCAATTTTCCCACTTTTCCTGCTTTTTTTTCCATGTTTTTTCCCTGCTGGATTCATTTTCCAGGCTTTTGTCTGGAGCAGCTCGGGCCCAGGCCCGGCTCCTCAAAATTGAGATTTCTGTGGAGAAAAGTTGGGAATTTTTGGGAATATCGACTTCCAGAGGGAAATTTTATCTTTATGGATTAAACAATGACCAATTTTCCCAATTTTCCTGGATTTTTTCCATGTTTTTTCCCTGCTGGATTAATTTTCCAGGCCTTCCCCTGGAGCAGCTCGGGCCCAGGCCCGGCTCCTCAAAATTGAGATTTCTGTGGAGAAAAGTTGGGAATTTTTGGGAATAACAACTTCCAGAAGGTTTTCCTATTTCCATCGATTCATTTTCCCACCTTGCCTGGCTCGGGACCATCCTCAGCTGTAGGAATTTGCCTTTTAGGGGCCTAAGTTGCATCAAAAATCCCCTTTTTCCCAAGAAACCGCTGCTGACTCTGGGATAAACCTGACAAATCCATAAAAAAAACAACATTTATGCCCCATTCCCAAACTTTTCCTCATTATCCTGTCCCCACTGTGGGAAAAAATTGGGATTTTTAACCAAAACCCACAGAATTCCCATTCCCTCCTCACAACACCAGGGGCAGAAACGGGTTAAAAAAATCCAATTTTTCCTTGAAAACAAGCAGGAAAAAGAGGAAAAACCAGAAAATCCGAGGATTTTTCATCCCAACCACCTTTAAAATGCCTCATAACCTCACCTGAGCCGCTCCGGGATTGCATCCCGAGGTTGATCCTCTTATCCCAAATCCCAAAAATCCCCAGGGAAAAATAAATCCTGATCCCACATCCCCCACGGCAGCCGGGATTCGCTCCCAGCTGGGATTTTTATTTTTTCCCAGGATGATTTTGGGGTTTTTTTTTTGGAGGATTTTTATAATTATTTCTTTTCCCAAAACTCCCAGAATTCCCGAAATTCCCGGAATTCCCAAAATTCCCGGGGCTCACCGTTGGGCCGGATGTTGATGAAGGGATAATTTGGCATCACCAATTTGTTGAAGTTGAATTTGTAGGTGAATCTTTTGCCCTTGGTCTTGTGCAGGATCCTCTTGTTGTAGTAATATCTGGGAATTTAAATTCCAATTGAATAAATTTTAAAGAGGTAATTAATAAAATTAATCAATGAGATTAATAAAGAAAATAATAAATAATTAAATAAGTAAATTTAACCAATTAAATTTAAATTTTAAAGGGAAAAAAAAAAAAGGGAAAAATTACGGTTCAAAAATCCACAATTCCTTCCTGATTCCCGAAGGATTCGTTCCTAAAATCCTGCTGAAACCAAAATGTGGAATTTTGGAATGGTTTGGAGCTTAAATTTCCTTAAAAGTTCAGGATTTTTTCCTAATTACAAAGAATTCCAAAGGGAAAAGGCAGAATTCCAATAGGAAATTTGCAATTCCCAAAGAATTCATTCCTAAAATGAAAAAAAAAATAATTCAAAACCACCAAAAACCTGCAAAAAATCCCTAAAAAAAAAGAAGGAAAAAACCCCAGAATCGTCAAAAAACCCTAAAAAACCCAAAAAAATCCCTAAAAAAATGAGGAAGAAACCTCCAAACTTCCCCCCAAAAATCACAAAAAAAATCCTGAAAAATCCCCAAAAATTCTGATAAAAATCAAAAAAAATTCTGAAAAAAATCCCCCAAAATTCTGATAAAAATCTCCAAAAATTCTGATAAAAATCAAAAAAAAATTCAGAAAAAAATCCCTCAAAATTCTGAAAAAAATCCCAAAAAAATCTAAAAAAAATCCCAAAAAATTCCTAAAAAATTCTGAAAAAAATCCTAAAAAATTCTGAAAAAAAATCTGAAAAAAATCTCCAAAAATTCCCAAAAAATTCTAAAAAAAATCCCAAAAAATTCCCAATATTTTTTCCCTGATCCCTGCTCACCTGAGGGCTCGGCTGAGCTTGTCATAATTCATCTGGGGCTTGCACTTGCGTCGCCCCCAGAGCCGAGCGACCTCGTGGGGGTCCTTGATGACGAATTCCCCAGATTACAGACCCCCAAAAAACCCTAAAAAAATCCCAAAAAACCCTAAAAAAATGAGGAAAAAACCTCCAAACTGCCCCCCAAAAATCACAAAAAAAAAAAAACCCTGAAAATCCCCAAATTTCTGATAAAAATCTCCAAAAATTCTGATAAAAATCCCAAAAAATCCCCCAAAAAATCCCCAAAAATTCTGAAAAAATCCTAAAAAATTCAGAAAAAAAATCTGAAAAAAATCCCAAAAAATTCCCAATATTTTTTCCCTGATCCCTGCTCACCTGAGGGCTCGGCTGAGCTTGTCATAATTCATCTGGGGCTTGCACTTGCGTCGCCCCCAGAGCCGAGCGACCTCGTCGGGGTCCTTGATGACGAATTCCCCGTATTCCCCCTGCTGCCAGGCGATGACGTGCCGGAATTCCTCCTTCTGGAGCAGCTCCAGGATGAAATGCCACAGCTGGATCTGCCGGGAGCCGGGGCTCGACTCCGTCTTGTAAGCCCACTCTGGGAAATGGTAGCCTTGGGATGGGGAAATGGGGGAAAACGGGGAGGGAATGGGAAAAAACGGGGAGGGAATGGGAAAAAATGGGGAGGGAATGGGAAAAAACGGGGAGGAAATGGGAAAAAACGGGGAGGGAATGGGAGAAAACGGGGAGGAAATGGGAAAAAACGGGGAGGGAATGGGAGAAAACGGGGAGGGAATGGGGAAAAACAGGAGAAAATGGGAGAAAACGGGGAGGAAATGGGAAAAAACGGGGAGGGAATGGGAAAAAACGGGGAGGGAATGGGAAAAAACGGGGAGGGAATGGGA